ATAAAGGCCCGCCCTCCGTCCAGTATTTCTTCGCCTGCTTCCTGCTTAATACCCTCAAACTGAAAACTCTAAACCCTAAGCCCCAAACCCCTAAACCTCAAACCCTAAACCCCTCATAATCTCAAACTAAAACCCACTAACAAACCCTAAACCCCTCAAACTAAAGAGCCAAAGCCCGGCGCCTGCGGTCAGGTCTCGGCCTCTTCGGCTTCTGTGGCTTCAGAAGCAGACACCTGGGGGAGAGGATTTGGGGTTTGGGGTTTAGGGGTTTGGGATTCGGAGTGCATGGGATTTGGGAGAGTTGGAGGTTTAGGGTTTAGGGCGTCTGCATGAATTTCTGCAGTTCCGGGTTTACGGGTTTCTTCCTGGTTGCGAACCGCAGGTCTTCTAGGCTTTGAGCTTCTGCATTCTACTGCGACGATCATTTTGATCAGGGTGACTGACCAAACTGCCTCTGTTGCACCATCAGGAGCATTAGGCACGCAAGGCTCAGTGCTCAGCGCTCAGGGCTCTGATGAAGAGGCCTTGATCACCAGAATCCTCAGAATGGAGTCTTCACGGTGTGGTGTAGTCTGGTATAATCGTTTCGGCACTATCAGGGGACAATTTCTCCGACTCCTACTTTATGCGCAATCTCGGAAAAATCAAAAAGGTCTGGTGTGCAGTTGGAGGACGAAAGCCTTTAACGTCCGAAAACTTTCTCCCCATCCTTCGCACGATCACCCCAAACGTCTTCCATGTCGGAAATCAGGGTGATCACCTCTGTGGTCTACCAAAGCTCCCAACCACAAAATCCTAAACTTCAGAACCCAAACCCCCTCAAATCCCAACTCTCCACATTCTCCTTCCTTATGACCCCTAGACCCTATAGACCCTAAACCCTAAACCCTCGCCTGGGCAGCTTCCTCCAGCTCCCTCACGAGGATCTTCACGCTCAGCACCGGCGCATACTTGGGGTCGGGACACTGGAGGTTCCTCGGTTCCAGGACCCTCAGAAAGTACCTTCAAATAGGGGTAGATGGTCCCAAATTAAGGGTATTTAGGGTCTAATAGAGGGTAGATGGAGGTTCCTCGGTTTTGTAAGGCTCTAGGGCTTAGGGTTGAAGAGTTTAGGGTGGAGGGTGAGGGGTTTAGGGCTTTAGGGCTTTAGGGTTTGGGGTTTAGGGCTTTAGGGGTTTAGGGTTTGGGGCTCTAAAAATTTAACAGGGTTTAGGGTTTAGAGGGTTTAGGGTCCAGGGTCTGGTTTGGGATGGTTTAAGGGTCCAGGGCTTGCCGATGATGGTGATGGAGAGGACCCTCCCCCATACTTTCAAAAAAAGCGTTGCCCACATGGACGGTAATCTTGCATGCAATAGACCTAGCAGCAGTGAATCTCTCCTATGGTAGTCGCTAAACAACCCTCCGCACTCAACCAGTGCAGAATGCTTATCTCTTTGCAGGGCACAGCAGACTCGGGCCAAAGTGTTTTGGTTGAAGATCCGTGGTCTGGTCTGTTTATTTATCTATCTATATATTTATATAAAGCCAAGGAGTTGAAGGTTCAGGGTTTAAGGTTTGCGGGTACAGGGTTAGGGCTAGGGTCCACAACTGACTGCAAACAGTAGAGAGTTTTTTATGAGGCCTCAATCCTTAGAGTAGGCATACCAAGGAATCCTCAGGAATGGTATGGGTCATGGAAAAGGCCCCTCCCTAGAGCAAAAAAGACTACCTTGAAACCTCAACCCTAAAACCTCGAAAGCCCTGAAAGCTCCAAACCCCACATTGCCCGAAACCCTAAACCCTAGCGTGACGTCTCTGCAGAACCCTGAGGGTCCAAGTGCTCATTATTTCAGGACTTTGGGGCCTTTGGGGCCTTTACTATGGGCACCACAAACCATAAATAAGGACTACTTGGACCCTTAGGGGAAGAGAACACGGCAGCTTTTGCGAGGAAACTGCGATCCGAGTGGCAACTCCCCATCAAAGCCTCCTGGACAGCTCTTCAGGGTTCGGGGCTGTTAGGGTTTAGGGTTTAGGGGTTTAAGGGCTTAGAGGCTTAGAGAATTAGGATGAGGGATATAGGGCTCAGGGCTTGCAGGCTGTTGGGATTAGGGTGTGCAGTTTCGGGGTGTAGGGGTTTAGGGTGTAGGATATAGGGATGCAAGCAGGCCCAACATGACCCAACCCGCTGAAACGGACATCATCTAGACCATGAATCCCCTATAAGCCCTGCGCCAAGAAGTCTTCATTGCCAAACTCATCCCCGGGTGCTTTCGTTGAGAGCTTTGGACTTTGTAAGCTGCGCCTCATCGTTTGGTTTAGGTGTCCCTCACGATACGAGCCTTCAGTGCTGCGTTCTAAAGCCCTCAGCCTTTACCCCCAGGAGTCGTCCCATGCCATGAGAAGATACGACCCCGCCATTGTCTAACACAGCTGTCCCTGAAAATCTTCAGCCTCAAACACTAGCAGACACCCGAACCCCCCAAAACCTATACGCCCCTAAACTCTGTGACTCGGGGGACTCAACCCTCGAACGTGTAAACCCTAATACCCTCAAGCCCGAATCCCTCAAACACCAAAACCCAGCAAAACCCTAAAACCCGAACTCCTAAATTGCCTATACACTGTGCCTGCGACAGCCCCCTCAATGCTAGAATCTAAACTACTAGGGCCTACTAGGGGGGCTTAAGCGCTACTGTCAGGAGTGCTTGCAAGCCTACTTTCAGGGCTACTGTAAGGGGCATGTTACGGTCTCTCCTGCAACAAAAGGCAAGGGTTGTACATGGATTACTATTATAAGACTATTAAGAGTACTTCGTGCCACTCCGCGCCTGGCTTGTGGAAGTGAGGACCCTCCAGAACATACTCGCCAAGGAGGTCGTTTCCTCCGGCTTTGTCGTAGTCCCAAACCTGCCACGCAATGCTTGCTGGCCAGCTTGAGCTGCTCTTGGCAATGGGATTTATTACATGTATTGATATCTGTCTGTATACATGTACGCAGACACACATGCATGCACCGTGCATGTGTATCTTTATATGTATGTATATATATATATCTATCTATCTCTCTCTCTCTCTCTCCCTCTCTCTCTCTCTGTGTATGTGTGTGTTTTATTTGTTTAAATTTATCACTCAGGGCTATATGTGGCCGCCCGTTGTCTTGCATCTTCACACAAAGGGCTACAACCGGTCAAAGACACGCGATCATGTTCTGGGAGGGCGGGGGTCAATCTATCAGGCACTCCTGCCTAAACCCCCGTAAACCCTAAACCCTAATTAACCCTAAGACCCCTAACCCCAAACCCCTAAACCCCTACACCCCTAACCCCTATACCCCAAACCCTAAACCCCTATAACCCCTAAACCCAAAGCCCCTAAACCCCTACACCGCTAAACTCCAGTAGGGCACCGGCTCGCACGACTTTAGCAGAAAATGTGACACCCGAAAGGCGTCTTGAAAGAAACTTCAGTCCAATGCTTCTTGCGACTTAGGGCTTCAGGGTGATGGGCATCCGTTGGGTTTAGGGTTTAGGATTTAGGATTTAGGGTTTAGGGGTTTAGGGTTTAGGGGTTTAGGGGTTTAGGGCTTGGGGTGTAGGGTTTAGGGTTTCGGGTTTGGGGAAGTCTGCCTTCAGCATACTACTCGGATGTACAGTCATGTGAAAATGCTTGTACCAAAATCCGCCCTAAATGCCTCAAAACCCCGAATTTTCCGCAGCCCGAACCCTTCGTACAGGATGATGTGCAGCCAAGTGTGTACAGAGAGCATGAACCAAGAAACATTACTAAATGTTCAAATTGATCTAGGCTCAGATATATTACCCTGAAGCCTTCATTCCAAACCGTCATGGCCCCTGGATCGTGGGATAGGGAGAAAAACCCACTGCCTTGAAGGAGATCGCATCGCCAACTTCCTGGGACAGTGCGGTCTTTTGTTTAGGCTTTGGGGTTTAGGCTTCGGGGGTGTAGGTCTTAGGGTTAGGGCTCCAGGTTTTCGGGTTTATAGGTTTAGGGTTTACCGATTATTAGGGTTTAGCGGTTTAGGGCCATGCCAGTCGCGAACCGCCCAGGACGCGCATATTCCAGGCTTCAGGATCCGCAGAGGACTCCCTCCAAAGTGGGGTTCCCTAAACTTCCCTAAACCCTAAAGCCTAAACTCTAAACCCTAAACTCTAAGCCTTAAACCCTAAAATAAACCCAAATCCTGATCACTTCGCAAAAACCCTGAAAACAAAAACAAAAAACTTGCCGATGCTCAGGGAGCCCCAAGTCAGCCCCAAATGGCCCCGACTTTGAAACAACTCCAACTCATTGTTCATAGGCCCAAGAAAGTGTAAACTTTAGGGGGTTAGGGGTTTAGAGTTTAATTTTCAGCTTTGTAGAGGCTAGCACTACCAGGAAACAAAGTGATGTTGAAATGTACGTATTCAAAGATAAATTCAGCTACTAAGCCAACACTCTCCAGCATTGCCCCACGATGCCCCAAAGCCTTAACCCGAAACCTTAAACCCAGCACACTTTCGAAGAATAACCCTGAAATGTATGTAGTTGACTGCGACAACCTGGATCCCGAAGGCGGTTGGAAGAAGGGAAAAAGGGGGAAGGGGCGAACCGACTATCGAAGCAAGTCGCAGCGTGCCAAGGGGGGAGAGCCAGGATGAACCTTGAAACCCGAGTTGTCGACCCCACACCTTCGACACTGACGCACTGAACCCCCACGCAACCATAAGGTTGAGACTTTAGAGCGTGCCCAAAGGGGTCCAGTCGACTATCATCCTAACATAGGCTTGTCCATGTTGTTGAGGGTTCCGAGTTTACAGTTGACAGTAATTACCTTAAGCTACCATAACATACTTTTTTGTAGGTTCTTATTATAAACCCTAATATGGAATTTATAGGGACCCTACAAAAAAGTAGGTTTTGTAGCTAAAGGTAGGGTTTAGGGAAATCAGAAATCAACCGTTCGGGCTTCAGACCGCTCGGGGGACGGCATATCGAAATGCTCAAGTCAGCTGGGCGTCGTAGCGGTGCTTGTCTGTCAGCGTCTCGTTCCAAACAGGATCCAGCGTCCGGGCTTTGATGGTGGTCGAAGACCTACCCATGCTTTTGGACATGTAAAAGTGGCCTCAATAGTTTTATTAGAATAAGTTTTCGGAGTAGATCGTACTAGATGCAAAATGATATACTAAGGAACCCTATAAGGCACAGCAATATGAAGTTTAACTACGATGTGCCGGGTTACAGCTGCTTTCAGCTTTAGGTACAACTTGCTGCAGCTACTTGTGACTTCCACCCTGAAGTGGATTAGCGTGTTTGGATGGCAGAGGGGTGCAACTGCACAACCCTAACCCCCGCGCCCTAAACCCTATAGAGTGGTCGACATTCGAGGCTTGCTTGACCATTGCAAGAGGACGTTAAAGCCGTTAGCCTGCTATGGTAGGTCTGCGTGTCTTCCAACAGCAAAACTGGGAATACTTCGAGCATGGGCTCTTAGGTCAGCTTTGCAGGAGCTGATGTGCTAGATGCTTGTTTGTTCTATTGAGATTGTAGCCCTAAACCCTAAACCCCTAAACTCGATATACCCCTAAACCCCTAAACCCTAAAGCCCCAATAACCCCTACCCTAAACAGGGCCCTAAACGTTTTGGGCTTAAAACCCTAAACCGACCCAATTAGGAGGCCCTGAACCCCTGGAAACCCCTATAGACCCCTATAAATCCCTAACCCCCCTAAAGCCCCTAAATCAAGGAGCCCTGAAGCCCCCCCAAAAAAACCCAAACACAAAAAGGACCCTCGGCCTAAGATCTCCTCATTCCCCAAGACTCCAAAAGCCCCTTCATTAAGGTCTATACCTCAAATTAGAATAGGAACACAAACAAGTATATATATATATATATTTGTTGTTATTACTATTTTTTTATGTATTATTATTATTATTGTTTTTTTGGGGTGTCGGAAATTGGGTCAAAGGAAGACATCTTCGTTAAATCATGTTATGAAGGCCCTTAGAGTCAAAGGCGTGTTCCTGCCTATACTGCGCTTAAAAAGACCCCTATAATGCTCTTGTAAAATAGTCAAAAAAATCAGTGGCATTGGGGCTATAAAGCTTTTTTAAAATAGTCAAAAAAATCAGTGGCATTGGGGCTATAAAGCTCTTGTAAACTAGTCAAAATAAATCAGTGGCATTGGGGCTCTCTTTGCTGAAATTCCTAAGTCCGTATTTTAAAGCCCTAAAGCCCAAACCCTAAACCCCACAAACCCAAATCCCGAATGCTGAAAGGCCTGGAAAAGGGCTTCCCCACCAGCTGCACGCTGCAAAAGGGATCCTCCAGAAGCTTGCTGCGCGTAGGCTTACGTAAGGCATTGGGATGCATTGGGGCTTACCTTTGGCCCAGAAGTCCTACCTCTTTAAGGAGCTAAACCTCTAAACCCTAAACTCTACTTTATAGAAACCTTAATAGGGAACTCTCAAAAGGCAGGTCTTCACGGCTGCTTCTAGGGGTTTGTGCTTTGAGGCAGGGTTCAGGGCTGAAGGGCTCGTTGGATTTGGGCTCAGGTATGAGAGAGTTTTGAAAGCTCTGGAGACCCCCTCTGAGAAGCAATGTTGGAAACCATGCTCTTGAGAGGGATCTGAGCTTCATGTTGTAAACTCCAAATCAAGCCTGCGCAATTGTGCGTTAAGGGTTTCGGGCTTACCTTAAGGGTCCATATGTACTATTGCTATGGAGTTAAGTCCCCCAAAAAACTATACGAATGGTCTTGTGGGACCAACTTCCATAATAATAACAACAATTAACAACAATAATCGATACATACATACATACATACATACATACATACATACATACATACATACCTACGTACATACATACATACAGACATACATACATACATACATACGTACGTACATGCATACATACATACATACATACATACATACATGCATATATGGACCCTCTGGTTTAGAAGGATATAAGACCAGGTTTGGGTTACAGCTCAGGGCTTGCAGTCTGAAGGGTTTTGGGGGGCGTCTGGTGAAAACTGCAGCATATCCCACCTGGTTTACCACGTTAACGATTACATAGTAGTCGATTTAAGAATGTCAGAATCTATTTTTTAAACCTCTGTCTTCGATACTCCCAAGGTTTGGGTTTGGGCTTGTTCTGAAGTTGTCACAGCGCCTAGGCTGGTGAATTCAGCAGTTGCCGGGGATGTGGGTTGGGGCATTTCGGCTTTAGGACTGTTTAGGGCTTTGGAGACTGTGGGTTCAGGGTTTAGGGTTCAGGCTTTGGGGTTTAGGGTTGAGGACAGGTGAAGCAGGACACTGCGAGAGTCTCCATACGTATCGAAACTCAGGGTTTCCATCGCTGGCGGCGTTGTCTTGGTATCATTTCTGTTTATATACCCAGGGTCCGATTTGCCGTTGGCATCCGCCGGGGGCAGGCCATCCGCATGCCCTTGGCTGAAAGAGATCGTCAGATCAGGGTTTGTAGGGCTCAGGGTATAGGGGGTTTCGGGTGTTGCGGCTGCTCTGACGTAGGTCTCAGAACCGCAACTTTCAAACTCCCGACCTAGCTCATAGCTCCAAGACTTCATCGTCGTTGACTTAGGCCATGACGGGGTTCCTAGGGATACTATATGGGTGCATGGACTGATACTGTATGGGTACACGGACCCGTAAACCCTAAACCCACAATATACCCTTATAGGAACCGTTAAAGGAACCCTTAAAGTATCCCTTTAAAGGGTTCATGGAGCCTTAGGGTATTAGCACTTTAGGATTGGAGGAGGGAGGTCTATGTCGATTTACGAGGGTCTAGGGCTTAGGCTCTACATTCCTGTGGTTTTGGCTTAGGCTCAGCCATGGGGCTAGGGCCGCTAGGGTTTAGGGTTTAGGGGACCCGGCGCCGTACCGAGTTTCATGCCTCAAAAGATTTGAAGTTTCATAAATGGAAGGCGGCCAAGGAGAAGCCTAGGTCCGAATTGTTCTTGGGACTAGGGGTGCAGACGACCAACATCGTTCGGCTTTATAGGAGTTAGAGCTCGGATTCCGGGTTACGAGAATCAGGTTTTGAGTGCTCAAAGCTACTTCTACCGGGCTTCAGTTCGCATAATTCCTGTGCTTTAGTGGCTTAAGTGCCAGGATGAAGGTTCAAGCTGCAACACAAAAGCTAGGGAGGCTGCAGCCAGGTCAACCTTGAGTGCCAAGTTCGCGTGGCCCGACGTCAGGAGCTACCCCGGTGAGTCGAACTTCAGTTGGGAAGTTGGGATGCCACGTCTGACATACAGATGGTCTGATTTAAGGGACCTGGACAACGAGATTTTTAAGAACTCCATCATCGGAAAGCTTCCTCAGGGCCGTAACCCAACATGTCCGAGTAATTGCTCCACATGATCAAGACACCCATGCAAGACCTAAGCCGATCAAGTTTTCCATCATTGGACCATGACACAGTTTCCACAAGCATCCGTGCTGTTGCGCTGTTCCTGCTCAGATGCCCGCCCTCAATCCTAAACCCTGCACCCTACGAACCCTGAGTCCTACTAGTAAATTGAATAGTCAACCCTAAACTCTATGATCAATCCTACAGCTCAAACTCTAAAGCCGTATATTCCAGTCAGAAAGCGGATGAGGATGGTCGTTCTCGGTGGAGGCTCAGGAAAAGCCGTGACTTGAATTCTCAGCCGCAATGTTGGGTTGTAGCCTGCGGGGTATCAGGATCCGGGCTGATGCGATGTAGGGGTTTTATGGTTCAGAGTCGGGGCTTAGGGGGGTGCATAGTAGGGCTTAGGCCTTCTAGGGCGTACAGTAGGGCTTGATGCTTGAAGGGTGTATAGTAGGGTTTAGGGCTTATAGCGTGCACAGTAGGGCTCAATGCTTCTAGGGTGTATAGGAGGGTTTTTTCAGGCTTCTGGGCCGTATAGCAGGGTGTAGAGCCTGTAGGGTTTAGGGTTTTCCGGCCAGGGGTTCAGATGTCGGGAACCAGGGTGTTGGGAAAGACAGTCGGCCATACATACTGTTGATGACAGAAATCCTGCATTACCTTAAGGACCCTAAACTATGGGAAGCACGGTATATTCCTTATTATCGGTAATGCAGGATTTATATCATCAACCGTAGTTCATGTGGGTCCTGATTTTCTTGGCTCGTAGAAAAATTGAAGCTGAAGGTGGTTTCGGAGCTGTGGGCATGAGCTTGCGCATCTTCCCTATCTGTGGCACACGAAACCTGCCGTTTCTTAAGGAAGCACATAGACGAACCATAATGAGGGATCCGGCTCAAAGGCCCCGCTTGGGTGTAGGATGGTCGGTTAGTCCTCTGGGTTAATCTGATTTGCAGGGTCTTGGACCCTTGCAGTCATGGCTTCTCATAGTTACCCTCGACCCTAAACCCTAAACCCTAACCCTAAGCCCTAAACCCTAAACCTGAAATTCTTCACATCGAAGGATTTTGTCCAGCTAACACCTCACCTTCTCAGGGCTCAGGGGGGAGGGGATCCGGGGTTTGAACTCGTGATGTGAGTCTAGCGTCTAGGATATTACTTTAAGCCCATCGTAATCCACCCTAAGCCCTAAACCTCAAAAATCCCTAAACCCACCCCCAAAGCCTAAACAGTCCTAACCGCTAAGCCCCAAACCCGAAAGCCGTAAACCCAGTCCAAACCCCAAACCGCCAACCCCCCAAACCTTCAATTCCTCTACGGACCTCAATAACTAGAACAGGGTTTTGGAGTGTATGATACTATACCTATACCTATAAGAAGGAACCCCTGAAATAGCATTGTATTGGTGATTATGTAGACCCCTATATTCATCCCCCAATCCCCAAACGCCCCAACCCTAATACTATAGGGGCCTAAAGAATTGCCAATAATATTTTGGGGGGTTCCTTGTTAACAAAATGTAGTATATGTGGCCCCAAATCCCTGTTCCAACTAATTAGGGCCCCTATGTTCATCCCCAAGCCCCCAACGCCCAACTAAACCCTAAACCCCTAAACCCTAAACCCTAAACCCCAAACCCTAAACCCGAAACCCTAATCCCCAAAACGCCCCACCCCTAAAGCCGCCTTTCAGCTTCGCCGTCTCCGGAGAAAGCGTCATCGGCCAGGTGCCGTCGAAACCTCCAGGGCGATGGAACTCCTGTTCAGGCAGCACTTTAGACCCCCCCCCCCCCCCNNCCCCCCCCCCAAAAAAAAAAGCCCTACATCCTAAAACTCCAAACCGTGGAAGCCCGAAGACCTGGACCGTAGACCCTGGGGCAGTTTAGGGTTTAGGGTTTAGGGTTGATGGTTTAGGGTTTCATCCTAAAAAAACCCTCAACCCTAGAAACCCTAAATCCTAAACTCTAGGCCTAGAATTCAAGGTTTTAGGCGAAGCCCTAAATCCTAAAACCCTAAACCCCAAATCATAAACCCTACCCAAAGGCTCCGTAGTAGTTCCGTTTTTGTGGTTCACACTCAAGATCCCATAAGGTAATCCCAAAAAGGAACTACAATGGAGCCTATGGGTAAGCCTAGAATTCAGGATTTTAGGTGTTTGCTGAGTGCTGCTTGAGCTTTAGGGCTTCTAGTAGGACTGAGAGTTGCTGACCTAAACCCTAACCCGAAACCCCAAACCCTAAACCCTCAAACCCTAAACCCAACTCTAAACCCTAAACTGCCTTAGGGTCTACGGTCCAGGGCTTCGGGTTTCCACGGTTAAGGGTTTCGGGTTTCCGGTTTCGGAGGTCGGGACCCCAGGGATAAGTGCGATGACGGGTACCGTTTAGGGTTTAGTGGTTTAGGGTATAGGGTTGAGGGTTTAAGGTTTGGGGTTTGGGATTTAGGGAAGAGAGGCTTCAGGGTGGAGGGCTCTGGACCTAGGGGGCGTGGCCGAAGGGCTGGGGAGCTTCACATAGCTGCGATGCTTCGGGTTGACTTCCTGCCTTCATTCCAAGGATTGAGGGCGGCCGAGGATCGAAACCCTGCAGAGCCAGAGCCGGTATCGACCCACAAAGCCCTTTAGGGTTTAGGGTTT